TAAATTAAACTGCTACTTAGGGTGTGTTTGTTTGCCGTAATTGAAATTACAGAATTGATTTTCCCCGAATTCTCGTGTTTGTTTCACGTAATTCATTTTTCAGAAAATATTTTCCCGTGTTTGTTTCACGTAATTCATTTTCCGGAATATAATTCATTTTCCTAATAACATATTCTCCTTTGTGTTTTCTGTAAAATGACTTACGGATTCATTTTCCGTAAGTCATTTTCCGAACTTTTCATTTCAAAGAATAAATACTCAAAATAATTTTATTTTATGAATTTAATATTAATAAAATATTTTAATATCATTTTCATCAAAATTTATTTATATTATTTATTAATATTATAATATATAATATTATATTTTTAATATTATATAATCAATTATATTATAATATAAGATATTATATTTTTATTTTAATAATATATATAAAAAATTTATATATTTAATAATGAATAATATTATTTATATATTTAAATAATATTTTAATAAAGATATTTAAAATATATTAATTAATATTTTTAAAATATAATATAACACTATTACTTTAATAAATAATTAATATAATTTATAATATTTTACTTCACTAAAATATACAAAAATTAATATTTTTATTAATAAAATTATAAAAATAATATTTAATAATAAATAAATTATTTTAATATTTTAAAATAATAATATTAAGTTTTATGATAAATAATATTATTTATTATATTTAATATTTGAAATAAATAATTTTTAAAAAACTTTTCAACTAGTGGAAAAAATATTTAAATAACATCTTCCAAACATCATAAAACGTTTTATGATGTTTTTCAGAAAAATGTAATTCATTTTACAGAAAACATTTTCCAGAAAACGTTTTCCATAAATGTAATTCATTTTTCAGAATTTAAATTCCAGTAATTCATTTTTCAGTTCTAGTAATTCAAATTCCAGTAATTCATTTTCCGGAATTCTATCAACTTCTTCAAGTGACTCAGATATCAGGGGATCTGTACAAGTTCAATCCAAGTGTCTCTGGACACATTGCTACAAGCTGTCCTCCATTTCGTCTGGTATAATTAACTTTCGAATGGCAGCCTGCCTCATAGATAACAAGTTATACAGCTTGGTTAGAAACAGAATACCAAATTCCATACTTATTTAGTTGTATGAATAGTATTATGTCAATTGGTGTCGGTAAGTGTTCCACGGTGGGCAATTCATAATTGTCGGAGGTCTTCCACGGAAGTTGCTCTCAACCTAGCGTTGGGGGCAGCCTACTACCCTACCTCCCCTTTACCCCATTACATATGGGAATAGGGTCAGCTAATTTTGGTGTCGGTAAGTGTTCTTCGACCACAGTATACTCTCCTATGTATAGGTTCATGATCAATGGACACAGGAACTTGAAGTCCCGTCTTCGCAAGAAAACGCCATATCAGTCGAACAAAAGGACTAAACCAATGTATAGGTTCATGATCAATGGACACAGGAACTTGAAGTCCCGTCTTCGCAAGAAAACGCCATATCAGTCGAACAAAAGGACTAAACCAATGAACAAGCTTATGCCCTGCAGGGCTTCACATGATTTCCTTTTTTTGGTCCTTTTGGAAAGAATGATACGGTCACAACAATAGAACTAGAGAAGGGATTCATTCATTCACATTAGACCTACACACACACACAAATTCATACGACTAAGAACCTAACACTGAGATGCTGTGGTCATTAAATAGGTTCGGGCTTTGAACAGTTATGGTTTGACTAATTTTGTGGAAACGGTTGATGTAAATTGTTAAGCACGGCAGTAGATGAAACAAGGAAAGCAATCATTGGAGCCATCCCTACAACAACCATTGTGGAAATTAATGCTAAGCAGGAAAGCAAAAGCAACTTTGTAGAAACAAGAGGATGCAGTATTACCTTTATTTTAGCAACATCAACTAGAGATGGTTTCAAGTCCAAAGCAAGTCCAAATTAAAGCATTGCCTTGTCATGTTTTTTATGCCATTTATAGATTTCACCCATCAATGCATAGATGCTACTTTCATGAGGGGTGCACTCTCTGAGTTCCTCCAAAATTTCCAAAGCCTCGTTCAGCTTCCCAAGTGTCACCAGCAGTTTTGCTTTGCTGTACTTTGGAAGTGGATTTTTATTGTCCATGACAATAGCTTTCTCCACCAACTCTAAGAGCTTCCCCACACCTCTGCAAAAAGAATAAAAGAACAATAGTCAATTGGACAAATAATATAAACACAAGACACCACTAGTTTGGTCCTCATATCATTTAAACATCAATATTTGCATTACAATGTATTAAAGGATGAACTTAAAAACTTGTCAGAGAAGATGGATAAAAGATTTTGTCCAGTATCATGGACGTACAATATTTAAACAGATCGAACATTTGTAAGATGCACATGCTGAGCATTTCACAACTACTCATTGATAAGAACATATTGGGTTCACTGAGTCCTAAGGTAGCAAAAAATGACAGTTCGGTATAGAATGATAGCATAGAAGTGGTCAAACCTTTAATGCTTCTAAAGTGGTACCCAAATAGTACATTATAACTGAGGAGAAAGGATTTATGTGATGGGCCTGGCGAAAATGGTGCTCTGCAAATTCAAATTTCTCTTGGTGGAGATAGATCATCCCAAGCCCATACCAAGACTTGTATTGTCTTGCTTCAACATTAAGAGATTTCTTGTAGCACTCCGCTCCATGTGTGTAGTCCTCCATAATAACATACCTGCAACAATCACTTAATGGGATCCCCTTCTTTTTCTCGAGTCATTCAATTAATGGAGATGAATCTAAAAAACATTCTTGAGTGTAAGATCATACTCATGACCAGAAAGTGTGTGTGCATATGCAAATCTAGAATTCAACTGCACCGCTCGCTGAAAACTTTTGAGTGCAGTTTCATGATCTTTTTGCAAACTATAGAAGTTCCCAATAGCACAACCTGCATTAGGCATTCCATAACCAAAATCATCATAAATTTAAAAAAAAAAACATTCATAAAGTGTAATTTGAGGTTTTATGAATCCTATAGTGATGTTCTTTTCTGTAATCCAACGGATAATTGTTACCCACGAGTCCACGACCACCAACTACTCCACCCCACCCCACCCCCCAAAAGAAAAAAAAAACCTCCCAACAAAACAATAATAAAAAAAAAGCAGACTGCTGAAACATGTTTCTTGACCGTAGATAATATAATGAACAAGAAAATTAATGACCGAAGCAAGGTATAATGAACAAGAAATGCTTGGGAGTAAAAACGAACTAAAACATCATATAAACGTTCAAACATGCATGGGATTGAAATAACACGATTTTAACTGTTTTAGAGCCTCATAGAAGTCTACCAAAGTTACCAGGTTTGTGGAGCAAAACGATCAACTAATACCAACTCCTGAGCTAAGTATTTCAATTTCATTTCTTCCTTCAAATGCTGCAAAACAAAATTGCGGTAAATATAAAGAAAAGTAATTGCATTTTTTTTTCTGCCCCACAAACAGAGCTCATAAAGCTATGTCTGGGAGAAGTGATATTTCTTATGCAACAAACATGCTACACAACCTCCTTTCCTGTCTTCTAAGTTAGCCATCAGTAAGCCAACTTTCCCATCCTTTCTATAGAAATCATGACGCTGATCCTGAAGAAAACATGGGAAATTTCTCCAAAAGCATAGCTTATGGTCCAATATTTGTAATGAAATCGTGTACAGTACAACTAAAGAGGAGGGACGTGGTTTTATTTCGAAAAGATTTCTTATCAACTCAAAGATAGTCTCAATGGTTTCACAACCCATAAAATTCTCTCCCCTCCATAAACTTTGTAACTGGTACGGTGGTTTGATGAATGGAAATCACTCAGGGCTACCGATAGGATGAACAGCAATGGAGAGAGAAAACCAAGAAGATGAAGAAAAGGAAATGAGAGTTTAAGAAGAAGAATGAAGTTTCATGTCTGTTACTCATGAATTGTTCACATAATTTATTTACAATGGACAGTTTCTAACAGAATTAACAGAATGATAACAAATCAGCTACTAATAACAGCTGGAAACAGTAATACGTTAATCCTTACATCAGTAACTATTGCAAGGATGGTACTTAAACTCTGCACCTAAAAACGATAAGAAGTTTGCAAAAGAAAAGGTTTCAGAAGGAGGATTTAAAATATATAAATTAGCAACATATATGGGCCCGTTACTTATTTAACAGAAACTAAAGGATTTCAAATTTCATATAAATTTGAATAAATTTGCATTTAAATATATAAATTGAAATGGCTATCATGAATTATCTTCCCAAAGCTAAAACAAGGGTAAAGAGAACTCACATAAAGAACTGTGGAGTATACATCCATCTCTTCCAGACTGTAAGGAGATATTTGGTGTGCGAGACTAAAGGCAGAATCAGCATTTAAGTAGTCTACTAGCTCAAAATATGCTTTCCCAACCTGCAATAAAAGGTATTTCTGTGCCTTAAAAACTTGAAACTATGAATAAGACAACCGTTTCCTCCAGCATACCATTTGAAATGAAATAATAGAAATTCTAAGGATGGAAGCAACCCAAAAGAGAAGAAATTTTCTGCTTAACGTTCTCAAAGACCTAAAATGCTTATTACTTTCTTTCAAAAGCCAGCAGATGAAAAAAAAAATGTAGATTAACAAAATGGACAGTTAAGGTACAACTAAATCACCTGTGAAAGAACCCAGCCTGTATTATACTGCTTTGATGAGAGCTTTTGATAGACATTTAAAGCTTCCTGTAACATTAATAAGAAAGAATCCTCCATTTTTCTACATTAGAAAATAACTCAAGCACACCATTCAGAATAATAGAAAAACAAGTTTCAGTTGACAGACCAATACCTTACATCTAAACATACACAAATGCCTGTATCCCTCCCCAAGAATTCTCAGGAGCTTCAACATGTCTGATATACCAGAATTAATTGTTGCAGTATTAGAGGCAAAGCTCCTTAGTTTTGTATTTACTATCTCATGCTGAATGGAATTAACATTAGCAGTTGAAGATAAAATGAGGAAGTTGCTTTGAACTCTTATACAACAACCTCATAAGTTTCCAGCAATTTCCCTAGAAATGACATCAAAGTATTTGACTTTAAAAATGAAGTAAAATATGCACATGAACTAGATGGAAACAGGAATAATTTTTGACAAGATGCGACAATTTAGATTCAATCACAATTACGCCACAAGTTCAACATGTCTAACATATACGATAAAAACTATGCATGACCTTATATTTTCTTTTTATAGAAGTAGGAGGCCTCATTAAAAACCCTTCATAGTTGACCCTTTCCATAAAGGAAAGGAACAACTAGCAGAAGGAGGAAAAGAGTACCTCAATTTTATTAAAAAAACCAAAGAAATACAAAAATCCTTTTACAATACCAAAAGAAAAGCCCTCTAAATACATATATCGTGTAAGAAATAGATCTTGATGAACTTCTTATGAAATTGACCTTGATGAGCTATTGAAGAGCAATTCTCAAAGTTTAATTTAGTTGAAGCATGCAAACTTCTTTCTTTGTTTTCAGATCCTTTTGAGGTGTTCAAGCTTCTCAGGGCTGCAACTAATCTTGCACTTCTACGAAGTCCTTAATCGTAAAATAAACTGCCACGAATCTTCAGAATCAAGACAGAAGAGGCAACACATTTTAGAAAAATAAAAATGTAAGTGGAGAAGTATGAAGTACGTTAGCAATGTTGCATAATACTACTAAAATTAAAAACAAGAAAATTAGAAGGAAAAACCACAGAAAAGAAGTGATTGTTAAAGAAACAAGAAAAGATTAAAGCGATAAGAAGAAAAAAAAGAAAAAAGAGAAAGCACATGATCAACAGTAGAGTACACATATAAGCCTAAAGTAGATTCAAACAAGCAAAATTACAAAGACAAATAAAAATTCTATTCCTGATAGTGCAGAATGATGATGGAAATCTACAATTGATGGAAAACCAGAAAACAAAAGTGCTCAGTTCAACCATCCATACTGTGTGACTAACACCTTCCAATACAACCAAAAATATAAATAGAATAAAATAAGATAGTTAGAGTTGAAAGCAAACAGATAAAACAAGCTCAATAGAATAAATAGGAATAAAAATTAACATATTAAAGAAAATCAGACATGACAAGGAGACTAGAGTGTTAAACAAAATTAGTAAGATTCTCAATTATGACTGGTTTAAGGGATCCATGAAAAGGAACAAGTGACCTTACAGCCTAGGTATAAACAGGCCGCACGCCAGTGCAAAGCATCCAGATCATTTTCAGAATATACTTCTTTCCTAATTCAGCATGCTAAAAGTAAAATACCTACCAAACCCATACATGCAAAGCATACATTCTCTCCTAGTATTTTATTTTCCAAATAACTAAATGGATTTGAACTAATCTAAAGGTTGATAACAACTAGACAAAAAGATTCTGATGTCAAAAATGCAATTCTGTATGTGGCAAAAAAAAGGTGACTCTTTGATGTCAAGGGCAATCATGGATATCTAGAGTTTTTCTTCATATGCCTTTCTGGGATTTCTTTGTTAAAAAAATAACGTATAGTGATAATTAATGAATTATACTAGATGACTTTGCAAGATGATGATTTCAAAAATTACTAATATATGTTGCATTATATCCAATGTTCATGATGCAAGCATAGGAGAAAGGTGACTCCCTGAAGAATATAGCAATAAATTTTTGTAGGAATGTTTATGACCGTGTGTTAACAAACAAAAAATGTAGCAAACACTTTGAAAACTTAAGAAGGTGATAGAAACATGTTCAAAGATGAATGTGCAAATACAACCTGCTCTGATTCATTTTCACTAACAAATTCCATTTGAGCTTGAGGACTGGATCTTAGAGAGCCTTCACTTTGGTGTAGTTGTATGTTTCTAACTAGAGAAGTTGGAGCTGTATCTGATACCTTAAAAGATTGAAAAATAGAGAGCTTAGAAAGGCATCCAACGGGGATACAGTTAAAGAACATATTCATATAAAAGAAAGAACATAAATGGTCCTGCAGAACCTAACAGACCAGCTGCAGTTAGTGTACTAAACTTCATATATTATAAATAACTAAACTTTCTTCTAGGATATAAGTAAATGCATCAAAGTTCAAGTTACTAGATCATTCCTATTTGAATTAGCCAGGGCTTCTCGTGACATGCAGTTTGAATAAGAAGATAAATGGTCCCATCTCCTTTAAAAATGTATAATTTCTCTGATAAGAGTTGCTAATATCAGTTTTAAATCTGAAAATGTTCTTCATTCTACTTACAGTGTCTTATTTTGGAAATTATGGTTAAAAATACCCTGAAATAATTTGTATGCTTACAAAATATTCTGCATTATGGTGTAGACAAAGAGTAGATTTGCTTTAGAAGAACTGATGCCTCCAAGGTCATGGAAATAGTAGGCCTAAAATCTGAATAATGCTACTAAGCTGAACAGGGCAAGACTACGACAAGCTTGCTTGCCTAGAATATATCATCTGACGAAGTAACAAAAAGATGCAGTAAATTAAACTAAGCAAATATAATATAAATGTAAATCTACATGCACAAAATGCTAAAGCATTAAACAGGTTAGAGCTAGTACATGAGAATGAAATAAATATCTCACAGCAAATCAAACTCTATTTAATTACCCAAAAATGTCTTACTTGTGTGGGAACAGGGGAAGGAGTACTTAAAGATGGTGTATTGCAACAGTTGTTTGTTATTTGCCCAACAACTCCTGTTAAAATAGGTCCTCCATGATTATTCTGACATATATCTCTGGTTTTTTCCTCTTCCTTTTGTTGTAAGTGACACAGACTCAAATCTTTGAACCCAAATCTTTGAGAAGAACCCAAGTTGTGACCGGTACCAGCAATTAGTAAACAACTGGATGGGTTACCTAGGTAATGCTCTTGAACACAAGGAATAGCTGCATCACCAAAATAAACAGCGCCTTCTTCATCCTCGCCTGAAATAAATACACTTAAGCCTTGTCAACAATTTGCTAATTATTGGTCATGTAGATAGATCCGTTCAACAGAAAAATATAGTTATAAGTTAATCGTAACACTATTCAGACTTTGCAAAGAAATTTATTCTTTTTCTTCTTTTCTTTCTAAAAAAATTGTTTATTACAAGAAGAAAATAATGTCAAAACTTAATATCAGCTGATCTTTCTGACTTAATCTGTACAAACATCACTGACCTAGCATACAAAGTTCCTCGTACGCTGCCCAAAACAATGGATCAATTGACAAAACCTTCCTAAAGTGTTCAACTGACCTTTTCATCCTAGCGGTGTCCCTGTGGGAAAAAAATCCAGAACAAAGATATTGCAGTGAAAGGAGAGACTACAGCAAGCCAGTACAAGTAACATCCTAGTCAAGTGCAAAGGAAAGTATAACATAGTATTATTATTAGAGAAAATAACCTCAGTGACAGAAAATGCTTTATAATATATGATTTTAATCAATTTTTTTTTGAATTTGTCAAAATGACCAATAAATTCGTAACGCGAAAGTCAAATTCACAACGAGAACTTCAATTTCGTAACTCAATTTCCAATTTCGCAACGCGAATATGTAAATCGCGTTGCGATTTTCCAAATAAATCGCAACATAGAAGTCAAATTCGCAACGCGATAGTCAAATTCAAAGTCAAATTCGCAACGCGATAGTCATATTCGCAACGCGAATTTGTAAATCGCAACACATAAGTCAAATTCGCAACGCGAAAATCAAATTCGCAACGCGAAAGTCAAATTCGCAAACAATATTAATTTCGCAACACAAATGTAAATAATATTATCGCAAATCATAACCTAAAACCCTAAATCACAACTCAGTGAGTTGACTGAAATTGATAATATCCGAAAGACATTCTTCGGATATCCAATCTTCCTGCTTGTTAACCAAAAATTACGATGGTCGGGATTTTCCTCGCGTTTAAAGTTGAAAAAAAAAATTGAAATTAGGAATAATCAATGATAACATGCATATTGGCTAAGTTATTCCATTGAGTAAGTTGTTGTTTGGATGGACAAAGGCTTGGGCTAATATTTATAGTGGAACCGAAATTTATATTGAAATTCAAACTCCAATTACATATGAAATGAATTTGAAATGCAGTGTTAAATTGAACATGAAAATTACATAATTGATTCATACTGTTCAAGTAACATGCTTTATGAACCATCAAGCTAAAAGATAATATTGATTGAGTTTGAGTTGTGAGTTGATGGGGTTGTCACACTTGTCACATGGTTGGAATAAAGTACTCACATGGAAGAGATAGATTGTTTTGTTATGCACAACTCATCTCATCTGAATGAAAATATACATACAATACAATATAATCAAACCAAAACATACATACACAACCAATTTATACATAACAATGTTCAAATAATGTACCCACAAAATCAAAATTAATCCTATGAAAAAGGGTTATTTCTAACGAAGTCTGGAACATTATTTTCCAAATAATATACCCATAACAATGTTCAAATAATGTACCCACAACAATGTTTAATTGATTTGTTGTTTAATTTTCATTTTGCATTATGTTGAAGGTAAAAAGACATGTTGAAGGTAAACTTTCGCAACGTGAAAGGTAAATAATTCGCAACGCGAAAGGTAAATTCGCAACGCGAAGTAAGCGTTACGATAGTCAAATTCGCAACGCGAAAGTCAAATTCGTGTTGCGATTTTCAGTTTGCAATTTCGCGTTGCGAATTTGACTTTCGTAACGCTTATTTCACGTTGCGAATTTGACTTTCACGTTGCAAATTTGACTTTCGCGTTGATCGCAACATACAACATCAAGTTATATACAACATCAAACACATTCCAAGCTATAAATACAAGCTAAGGACACTTGAAGAAGCAAGAGAACAACTATCCAAGCAATCAAACACAAGAGAAAATCCCAACATGATAACAACTGAACAGATCATAGCAATGTTCAAACTCAAGTTACTAATGAATGTTTAACTGAAAATGTATGCATTCGCACATAAAATACACATAATACAACGTTTGCATTTAAAAATCACCTAAGTTAATAAGTCCCAAAAGGTGAAGCCGGTTGTAATTGAGATTTTGATTTTGATTGCGATTTTGATTGCGATTTTGATTTCCTTTTGCTTGGCACCATATGAGCTTTGGATTTTGATGAGAATCCATTTTTTTGTAGAGAAAAAGATGATTGTGATGGCATTGGTGATCCACAGGTCAACCTTGTATGACCACTTTCCTTGCACCGACTACATGTCAATATCTTCTTCTCTTCACCCTTAGACGGTATACGATTGTGATTTTTTGGTCGGCCAGGTAGCCTGCTGTCCATGACTGGTGGCAAAATTGTTTGTAATTCATCTGGTATGTCCCACTCAGAAGGATGTGGACATGGGTAGATAATCTCGGCATAAGTCTGTCGTTATATTTCTATAGTGTAGCAATCCATAGCGTATGCGCTTGAATCATCTTGGTTTAGATGAAGAGAAGCTTTTATAACATGGCCACACGAATAACCAAATGTTTGCCATTTCTTACAACTACACGTTTTTGCATTTAGGTCGACAAGCCCATTTAAGTTATCATCCAATACTTCAAACAAAGTGTTTGAACATGGTTCAACTCTCCATGACGTTGACTTCACAATACGTTTCGTTATCTTTTTTTCAGTCCATGGTGTAACATGACATTCCAATGTTCCTGTAAATTTAAATAAATAATCATTAGTAAAATATATGATAAGTTACGAATTTAAAGAAATAATACCTGCATGATTTCTTTTCTTGTAGTACCACTGTTGAATAGAGGCTCGAAAAAACTCCATTAACATAGTAATGGGTAATTTCCGGGAATGACGACTTAGAGCGTTGATTGATTCTGCACTATTAGACGTCATGAAACCATATCTTGCTCCAAGTTGATGTACTCTTGACCATCTTTCAAACCCGACATCTTCTAGTGTTTGAGCACATTGAGGCAAAACACGTCTTAAGCAATTTATATGCTTATTAAAATCTACTTCCCGATAAGCTTTTACAGCCTTCCAGTATGTCCATTTGTGATTTTTTATACCAGCAGACCTTGATTTTAGATTTCTGTACAAATGAACACCACAAAGTCCATGAAAAATATCTGGGAAACACCTTCTAATAGCGTTGTCAATTGAGTTTGCCCTATCGGATATGATTGTCAGATTGCTAATAGGACCTATGCAATCCCTAAGATGCCCCATAAACCATGTCCATGAATCAGAGGTTTCATATTTGCCAACCCCGTAAGCTATTGGCAGTATTCCATTGTTAGCATCCATGGCTACTGCTAATAAGTTTACTCCAAGGTATAGACCTTTCAAATGTGCTACGTCAACTATAATAACTGGGCGCATGCAAGTAATAAACGAATGAATCTACAAAATCATATACACAAGAAATATAATCATTTAAATGTGAAATGCATGCAACTAACAAAGATGAGTCGACAAAATTATAATTATTTACTAATCGCAGCACCAATGGCGATAAACATCAACTCAAAGCGTCCATCTCTATCTGTTTTGATATGAGATACCGACCCAGGATTTTTCAGCTTTAAATTATGACAATAAGCTGGCAGTTGGGCAAACGATGCTTCTGGCGACCCCCTCAACAATTTCAAGGCATAACATTTGGCTCTCCAAGCTTGAGAATATGAGATACTAATCTTGAACCGAGCATTCATGTCAGTCATAATTTCATGTCCCCGATATACCCTTCCATTTAAAAACATTAACTCTGCCAGAAACTCACCCAACACCTTTTTGTTTGCCTGTCTATGGTGAGGAAAAACTTGGGTTCTTGAACATGCATATTTATCAATAAAAGTCCTAACTTGAAATATTTCGCAATCTTTTATCCTCTTTGCAATCATACGCCACGTACAGTTTTTGTCAATCATACACCTTGTTTCGAAACGATCTTTGCTTGATTTGTTAACTTTTAGTTGATAGCCATCTTCCACACATTTCGTATACAAATATATCTTCAAGTCTTCCTTTGTAACATCCTCCATGCCGGGTTAGTGATTAATTTGTAAAGTTTCAGCATTTGGTGATTTAAGTAAAATGATGGAAGAGTTCAATGACCTATTTGAGTTATTTAGTGTAGGATTGAATTATAAAGAAGGAAAATTAAGAGGGCAAAAGAGTATTTTAGTAAGAGTAATAATTAAATATTCCTTAAGGTGATTTTATAAATCACGTGGAAAGCATTTGGGATAAACAAGGTTCCAGACATTTCTCTTCTTCTTCTTCTTCTCCAACCGTGAAGCTTGCAAGCAAAGGTGAGTTGTCTTCTTTTGGATTAATTCTTATGAGTTAAACATGAGTTTGGTTAATGAAGATTTAGGAAATATGATGGAGAGAAACAAGGACCTAGAAACTCAAAGAATTGTAAGTTAAGGGAGATTAAAGGTTGGGAGCCAATGAATGAAATCTTAGATTAAAGGTCATAATAAGAATTAGAAGTTGGATTTGACTTGTCATCAAGCTAATTAAGAAGTATGAGGTGATAGAATTAAAATTAGAACAAGTTGGAATTTGAGTAAGATTCTTAAATTCTATATGGGGGATTTCTTTTTTTTTTAGTTTTAGAGGTATTGAATAGATAATAATTAGTTTAAGTAAGTGTATGAAAGTTAAGAGTATTAAAGGGAGTGAAATATGAATGTTTGAGCTGAAATGAGATGATTTTCGAGCTCAAAATAGGATTTCTGGGCTAGGGGAATCGGTACCCATTCAAGGGGAATCGATACCCCCTCAACGAATATGAATTTCCAGAATGCTAGAGGGGAATCGATACCCCCAGGGGGGAACCGATTCTCCCATAATGAAAAAAAAGAATAAGAAAGAAGAGAGACTAAACTATTAATCCCTTAAATTGGTAGGCTATTAGAGGTTAATTTCAAGACTTAGGCATCTGATAATCATCTTGAAAATTTTTCTTATGTAGATATTGAGCCTAATCGAGTTCCGGAACCATCGACAAGTAGGATCAATCGAGGGAAAGACAAAGAAATTTAGGTGAGTGCATATGCATAGCATGAATATGTATTTTATTCAGTTCTAGACTTGTGATAAGTCTAGATTCAATATTTTGATACATGATCGTAGTTCATATGATGATATATGACATGAATCCATACCATATGCATTATGGGACATGAATATGAAAGAAAAGTTATATGAGTTATATGATAAAGGTATGGAAATAATATGTCTACGTGATAGGAATTAGATAAATTGTGAAAGCCCATGTTATGTAAATGAGAACTAT